CTGTTTATTTGGTTAGGACAGCACTCCCCAACATTTTGGCCCCAGGGACCAGTTTTGTGGAAGACATTTTCCACAGACTGGGAGAGAGGATGGTTTCAGGATGATTTAAGCACATTACATTTATTGGGTACTTTATTTCTATTATTATTACATTGAAATATATTATGAAATAATTATCTAACTCACCATAATGTAGAATCAGTGGGAGTCCTCGCCCTCAGCTTGTTTTCCTGCAACTAGATGGTCCCATCTGTGGGTGATGGGAGATAGTGACAGATCATCAGGCATTGGATTCTTATAAGGAGCACAACCTAGGTCCCTCACATGCGCAGTTCACAACAGGGTTCACACTCCTAAGAGAATCTAATGCTGCTGCTGATCTTACAGGAGATGGAGCTCAGGCAGTAATGTGAGGAGTAAGGAGGAGTGGCTATAAATACAGATGAAGCTTCACTGGCTTACCCGCCCCTCACCTCCTGCTGTGAGGCCCAGTTCCTAACAGGCCATGGACCAGTATAGGTCTGTGGTCCAGGGTCTGCAGACCTTTAGGTTAGGACATACCTCAGCAATATGTAATATTCATGAAGGCGGGATCTATATCTTTTTTCTCACTGCTAGACAGTGCTAGGCATTTTCTTCTACTCTCTGGTAGGCACTGGGAATACAGCAGTGAACCTTAGCCTTAGCTCACTGCTGTATTCCCACTGCCTAGTAAATAACTGTCATTCTGTAAGCGCTCAATGTATATTCACGGGATGAATGACTGAACCCTAAGTTTTGTGCAGGCTGTCTTTACTTTTCTCTTTGTCTTCAATACCTACTGCAGTGCTTAGCTCACTGTAAGTACAAAGGAGGTAAGCAGAGCCCCAGAGTATAAAGGTTCTTATAGGGCATGTTACAGATTTTAGACAATTTCTTAAAATCAATGAAATGTTATAATTAGAAGAAATAATTAGAAGAAAATATTACTAGATTTCATTTTAGAAATTAAAGATATTGCTTTCAGTTTCCCTTAATAATGACATCTTCATCATCCTACTCATCCAATCTCAATCTCTTCAAGTTATATAATACATTTTCCTTTATCCATCATTCCTAATAATTTGCCAAAACCTGGTAATTTAATTTCAGCAAGATAAAACTATCTCACCCTTTATTTTCCTTTAGAATGAGGGCCTTGGTTAATCACATAATAGACAATTGTAGCTGCTAAACTCATATCCCTGTCTTTAGTATACTCTGTAGCTAAGTCCCTTTGGCCTTAAATTGGCCAATAGACATTATTGGCCTGGTAGCCATTATATTGACCTTATAGCCAAGAATTGTACAGTATTGGTCTTCCATTTATCTAAGCAAATACTTGCAATAGCTCCACTTTGATTAAAGAGAAATTTCTAACTTTCTATTTGAAAAAATATGACTTTTTAATAACTTTCAACACTCATTCAGATAAATTGTTATGGTTATTATTCCTGTGAGGTAAGTAATTATAACTGCTTGATTTTTGGAAAAGTATTGAAACTTCAAGAAATATTGCAAAATTACTACGAAGAATTAACATACACCCTTCACCAAAATTTACCAATAGTGTTATAAAAGGTTGCCACATTTGCTTCATCATTCTCTCTATAGGTATTTCTGGACCTTACAACCTCTATGTTCTTTTTATTTCAAAATATTTTATTATTCTTTTTAAAGATCAAGGGCTTTCTTATGTATGATCACAGTACAATTAAATTAGGACATTTAATATTGATATAAAACTAATTTTATTATAAATAAAAGTCCTACAGTTCAGATGTTATAGTTTTTATTAATATTTTGAATTAGATTATCTCAATAATGTTCTTTATATTAATAGATATTATTCCCAGTTTGCTATCCAATTCTGGATTACACATTGCATTTAGTAGTCATGGTTTTTAAATCTCCATTAGTCTGGAATACTTCCTCAGCTTTTCTTTGACTTTCATCACAGTGACATTTTTGAAAAGTATAGGCAAGATATTTTGTAGAATTTTCTTTAATTTGAGCCTGTCTTTGCTTTCTCATGATTACATTCAAGTATGCATTTTTTTTTGTCTGGAATCCTAAATAGATAATGTTATGTACTTCTCAGTACATCATATCATGAGGCTCATGATATCACTTGGCCCATTATTGGTGACTTTAACCTTGGTCAGTTGGTTAAGGTGATGTTTACCAGATTTATTCACTACATGCAATTTATTATTCCCTTGTAATTAAGGATCTATAGTATATTATAAAAATGGCCTCAAGTTATTTTTATTTGTGTATGCATTCTCCTTGAAATATGGCATTATAGTTTCTCCCATTAAGACATGGACTATATTATCTATGTTTGGGTCATGTAACTTCCATGGCAAATGTACGTTCACAGATTCTCAGAGTGCTCCACATTGGAGCTTGCACTTCCTTGTTGCTTTTTGGAGCCCTGCAACTGCGACTACTGCTAGCCTATTGAAGGATGATGGCCTAGATGAAACAAAAGACAAAACATTGCAGCTGAGTCCCACACTCTCAAGACTAATAAGTATGTCACATCAGACAATGAGTGAGGCCATCCTAGGTCTCTAAACCAAACTGAGCTAGCCAGGGAAGACACCAACCTGACAACCCACAGAGCTTTGAGAAATTATAGATGTTTATTGGTTGGGGCTAATAAGTTTTGGAATGGTGTGTTATGCACCAAAAGCCAATACTTTCTAGGGTGATACTTGGGACTATGTAAATATCCAATTACCCAAATAACTTCTACCAAGTTTATGATTCTTGCCTAAGTTAAATATTATCACAAAGATTGCAAGATGGAATTGGGCCTTTTTTTTTTTTTTGGCGGAGCCTCGCTCTGTCGCCCAGGCTGGAGTGCAGTGGCGCGATCTTGGCTCACTGCAAGCTCCGCCTCCCGGGTTCACGCCATTCTCCTGCCTCAGCCTCCTGAGTAGCTGGGACTACAGGCGCCCGCCACCACGCCCGGCTAATTTTTTTGTATTTTTAGTAGAGACGGGTTTCACCGTGTTAGCCTGACACCATCGAGGATGGTCTCGATCTCCTGACCTCGTGATTCACCCGCCTCGGCCTCCCAAAGTGCTGGGATTACAGGCATGAGCCACCGTGCCCGGCCGCCTTTTTTTAAGAGATGAAAAACGTAAGAATGGGGGCTTATTTGTCTTCAAAAAACATATGACTAGTAAGTAGCTGTATCAGCATTAGAACCTCAATCTTTTACCTGCTCCACAGTTTTTCTCAGTATACCATGTAGAGGTAAGTGACCTGATGTTAGGACTGTAATTCACTAGGGGGAGCAGTAGAGAGAAATTCCAGAGTGTTATGAGTGGGACCCTGTGTACTCACACATGCACAGAAGCATCTCTGGTAAATGCTCCATAATTGACAGTAGGGCAGGATGGACAATGTAGGAGGAGACATTAATACAGTTATTAACATAGAAATTTAAATGATAATTGACTCATGAAAAGATATAAAGATAATATCTCTGGAAATTGCCTTTCATGAGTATCATCAAGAATGCCACTGACATACTAGATTATGATTAATAGTATCATATGTTTGTCAAACGTGGCTCTTAATATTTTTATGTAGCCGTTATATCCTCCCCCAATTCTGCCAAAAACATCCTATAAGACATGTGAAGTGACACCGTGAGAAGAAAGGACCCCTGTCAGCCGTTCTTACAAACAAGAAAACTGACACCCGAAGGGCCAAAACTAGCCAAGAGCCACAGCGAATAAAATGCCAAGCAGGCACTTGAACTCGGCAATCCCAATTTCCTAGAAAAGCTCCTCTCCCATGGCAGTGGGGGACAGGTCCCAAGTCTTTCAGATGCTGATAATGCCTGTGTCTTAGGTCTCTGCCTTCTGCCAGGCACTGTTCCAAAATCTTCACATGTATTTAAACTCAGTACCATGGGGGTACTGGTACTACACATTAACTTACACATGCAAACGTCCAGGTACCTCGGAGTGGGTGTGTGTTTAATACCATACCTAACTGCCTGAGAAAGGAATTCAAAGCCCCACTTTTTTCTTTACCGCTTCATAAAAATTTGAGAGCTACAAGGAAGCGCTGTGGTCCCAGTACTCTTACAGTGCGTTCGGTGGCAGTAGCCACCGCCAACCAGAACACTAGGATCCTGCCAGGGTGTAGATTCTGTAACCAACAAGGGGCCAACCTCCGTCCTTTCTGCGGAGGGCGCCGAAGCCTCAAGTACCCCGCAGCATCTCTCCGCTGGAGAGCCGACGGCAAGGGTGGGGTTGCCGGCGCTTTCCCCGAGGGCAATCTCTGATCCTCCAGCTCCCCTCTAAGAGGCTTCCTGATGCTTTGGGCGAACGCAGTGCACGCAGGCCGGCTTAGACGTTGTGGGGCCCCAAGGCGGCCAGGGGTCGCCAGGCGCCCTCCGGAGAGAGGAGTTGACCCCACGGTTGCTCTTGGGGGCAGTGCCTGCCAAGTATCGCGGGACTTGTGCACATCGCAGAAGCGCCAGCTCCAGGAGCAGCTGGAGCGCGCTCGGTGCGCACCGCCCCAGCCCGGGGAGGAGCGGGAGCAGGGAGGGAGGAGGCTGGGGGTGCTGGTTACGTAAATGATACTAGCCCAGTGAGAGGCCTCCAGGCTGGGGCTACGAGAGGGGGAGGGACCACGCGAGGAGGAGGGACCGGGAGGCGGCGGGCTGGGGTGGGAGGGGGGCGGGGGCCGGGGCGAAGTGACCAGGCGGAGGCGGCGGCGGCTCTGCTGAGGTGACAACGTGCTAGAAGCTCTCGCTCGCTCTCGGCGCCTCCTCGGCCTCGGCGTCCGCTCTGGCCGCGCTCGAGGAGCCTTTCAGCCCGCCGCTGCGCTATGAGGGCCCCTCTCTGGGGCTGGCCGAGGCCGGAGCCGGCTCCCTCTGCTCACGGGGAAGTGTGAAGAGAGAGGCGCGAGCGGGAGCCGGGACTGAGCGCGGCGCTCGCGGGCCGGCGCGGGTTCCAGGTGAGCGCGGGCTTGGCGAGCCCCGCACTCGGCGCGGCTGGCCGGCGCCTGCTGGGCTTGATCGGAGGCTGAATCCCGTGCGTGGACCGCCGTTCCCTCTTCGCGGGATCGTTGGCCACGATAGCAGGTCTCCGTCTCTTTCTCGCTTCCTCTCTTTTCCTCTTGATTGTCTGGGAGGAGCTCCCTCTGGGCTGCCGGAGTCCTGGGGCTAGGTACCGCAAAGTCCAGGCGTCAAGTGCCAGGGCGCGGCGCCGAGCGCCCCGGGCCGGTCCCAGGGCAAAGGCAGGGGCGCGGGCGGACCTGGCGAGGCGGCCTCCCGGGAGCTCCGAGTGCGCTCGCCCTCGGCTGCAGGTGTTGCGGGAGGACCTCGTGGCGCGGAACTTTCTGCCGCCGCCCACCTTCTGCTCTGCTTTTCCGGCTACCCCACTGAGTTGGGGGGGGGCTCTGGCCTCCTCTGCGTTCTGGTGACGCTCCGCGGCGGCTGTGACTCGGCCTCCAAGCCCAGGCAACTTTCTCGCACCAGCTGCAGGCAGCCCCGGCTGCGTTTCAGGCGTTTCTCGACCCGGCACCAGGCGCTCCCTGGGTCTTGGGTGTCTTCCTCGACGGTTGCCTTCCTATCCTGCCCCCTTTGCCTCGCTTTTTCAGAGTCCTCCTGCCTCTCATTCTCACCATGTGTGTCTCTGCCTCTGTTTCTCTTTCTGAGCCTTGGTCCCCTCAGTCCACACTCTCCGGCCATGTATCTGGTTTTTTTTTTCTTTCCCCCATCTTATTCTATATTTCCCCCTTTCTTGGGATGTCTGTGTCCCTGTTAATGTCTTTCCGCTTGTCTCTCCGTCTTGCAGCATTTGTTCTCTTTCTGTGTCTGCTTCTCGCAGCTTATCTCTGTCTCCCTCTGTCATCTCCCTGCCCCGTCTTCCCGAGCACGAGCCCCCTGATCCTGAAGCGTCTTGGTTAGGGGAGCAAGCCCTGGCCCATCTAATGGGCATCTCCAGGTGCAGAGACTTTCCTGTTTGGGGTCAGCGGGGACGCGGAGGAGACGGCCTGACCTTGTCTGGGCTATTGTGGACCTGAATGAGGGGCGCAAGGCGTAGAGTGGAGGGTGCCGCGGTAGGCTCCCCTCGCCGGGTCTGAGGGCGCTGCGCTGCCGCGAACCTGAGCGCACTGAGGCTGCTACTCTGGACAGCGAATGCTGCGCAAGCCCCGCCCGCATACCCGATTCTTGGACTGTGGTTAGTTGAATTTCCAGGAGCAGAGTCTACCTCCCCAACCTTTATAGCCAGCTGCAGGAGAACGAACAGTGGACAGGCAAACATAGATGCTTGAAAGGGTGGGAGCTTTCTTCAGGCAAAGGTGTTGCTAGCAGAGGAGAGGAGCTTTTGGGGACTGAGGTATGCCTGCCTTAAACTACTATGTATTCAGTGCTTAGGAAAGCGGTTTCCTTGGAGAGATCGTGGTCAGCCTTCCCTGAAACAGCATAACAACATAGAGGTTTTATTCGCAAGGCTAAAGGAACTTGGCTACCAAAGCCCCCTTGAAATTTCTGGTTTCCTTGAGTATTTTCAGCTTTATGTGAAAGCTGCCTTTCCTCAATCTCTCTCTCTCTCTCTTTTTCTCTCTCTCTCTCTTTCTGTGTCTCTCTTTCGCTGTCTCCCTGTCTCTCTCTCTGTCTCATTCGCGTTCATGCCCTCTAGTGTTAAAGAAACCTGCTGGTTCAAGAATACTGAAAAGTAAGGTCAACCTATTGGTTATTTACTTTTGGACCTCTCATCTTCCGGGATCATTCTCCTTGTATTACCCACATCCTTTCCTTTTCCTCAATGAATGACTTTTGCATTACATTACTAACCTTTCTTTCCCCCGCACCCCCTCTCGCGATCTCTATGTCCCCCCCCCCCCCCGCCGTCTCCTGCAGAGTAAGAACCTTCATATTGAAACCCTGTTCGTTTGATTTAGGAATTGGATAGATTTGGAGAATTTGCATAGCCTAAGGCAGACTTTGAACATTAAAAAGGTGCATTTCTCTGCACTGTTTGCTACAAACCAGGATTTCACGTCTTTCCTTTAGCCACTATCCACCTTCAGTTCCATGGAGAATTTTCCTGGCTGCTCCTGCTAGTTTAAATAAATGCTTTTATTTCACCATTTCTGTGATGCTTATCCCATTCCAGGGCTTCAGCTACTTGCTTAAGTAGCGGCACTATATCTCAGATCCGCTTTGGAGAGGAAGAATAGAAAGCTTTTCCAAAGGAATTATAGGGTGCTGTTGGTATAGATTAATTCTAGTTCGGAAAGTCCCAAGTGGGAATGTGAGAATGGAGGCTGTCTCAGATATGTAGTCCTTAGGACAGTGTGGGGAAACTAGTAAGTGCTTAATAAAAACTTGTTGGTTGATTGATTAGCATGCAGTGAATCATAGGCTTCCAAGTTACCAGCTGTGTTAAGGAGCCTACAGTTGAATTCCACGTCCTCACTCCTTTTTTGGGAGGTTTCATTTAGATTTTGTATGAATGGTAATTGAGAACTAGTAGAAGGGATATTGAAACAGGAGTCTTCTGTTTCTTTGTAGTTCATGTTATTGCTTGAATTTGCCCCTTTTTGCAAGTTTACAACTTGGCTGGTGTTCTTTAACACAGTCATCGCAGATTGAAGAAATGAGTTTAGAGACCCTGAAATGTGGCATCTCCCAACCTCCTTACCTGAAAGTAAATTGGGACATGACATCATTTTTGGGTGAATACTTTCATGTGGTTTCTAACAAGTGAAAAGTTCTCTCTTTTAATATGAAGAACAGATATATCAGCTTAAAATTCTTGGGGGCTATATTGATCTGTAAGCTGGATCACTTACCCTAAATAGTTTATGGATTCCCCTACTGCTTCATATATATATATATATATATATATAGATGTGTGATACTGCATGAATATGAGAATTTCCTAAAGTACCTGGAAACATAATGCCTCCTAATTCAAAGTAATAATAGGAATTCATGGGCAGCAATACTACTTTTTTGATGATATGCTAGTCACCTCTTAAAATAGTTGGTAATTTACCATGAGTATAGTGCAGGAGCATGTTCAAAGCAATTTTCCTTTAAAAATATTATTTACAAATCACCTGATACTCTACCCAATTTTTATATTTAAAAATAGTAAAGACGTAGTGAAGGTGGAAAATCTGATACTGTTTGAGATACCTTCTATTTGTTTTACAGGTTTAACTTAATGCGTTTAACTTTTTCACGTAATGGGCAGTCATTTCAGCTTGAACGGTTATGTCAGAGTGAAATATGTTTTTATCATGCCAACTTGGTTTCTAGAAATAGTAGTTGTAACAGGAACATTTTCATGTAGTAGAGCTAGAGCTTGTACAGCTTATAAAAACTTTGGGATTTTAGGAAAGGGGTGAGATAAGAAGTAACAAATGGGTATTTTTATTCTTTCTGAATGGGCAGATGAAGAGAATCCTGGTGTTTGTGAATAATAACAGTTGAGAAAATGATTGGGAATGAAATATTAATAGAATTGTCTTACTGTGTAAAATAAATTATGATGCTGCATATCTCTGTTAGGTGTTCATTGTCCTTTTAAAAATGGACACTTCATATAGTTATGACCTTTAACTAATTTGCCTTATTAGACATGATATTCTCAAGAGAAACCTCTTGTAACAAACAACACATACTTGACAGCGACTCTTAGTACATCACCTTCTTGTATTTGTGTCCCTATCGGTAGGAACATGTAGACATCTTAAATCTAACGGGATCTAACAGGATCACTGCTTTGAAGTCTGAATGACCATATGCCTAATTATCAAAGGATTTAAACTGGGCTTTGGTTCTAAATCCTTCCGTCTGCTCTTGTCATCAAAATAAACACATGTGAAACATCAAATCAAGACCTACATATATATACTCATATTTATTTTGACAACCTATTTAATGACATTTCTAACAGCACCCCCCCCCCACACACACACACAGTGGCTAAAGCATATGTTTGGAAACATAAATCACGTTTAAAGATCTGGCACTGTCTGCTTTGATAAACCATTTATTATTTTATCAGATTAGACTTCTGTTTACAATTTCTATCTGAAGGCACATTGTTGAAGGACTTCTGCCATTCAAATATATGCATACCTGTGTTTGAAAAGTCTGGTTTTTCATTGTGAAATTTAGCTTCTCAAGGAAATTTATGAAAATGAATACATTTAATTCAGTAATAGTCGTCCGTCTGAGGCATTATAAACAATTATCTCTAGTCTTTAGGAGGAGCAGTATAAACCGAACAGACTTTAATCACTTGACATTTGTTTCTTCTTAATTTCATATTTAGACCTGGTCTGTGTTTTCAGTGTAGTATATCTGTTATAATACATTTAATTGGTCTTAGCTTGATTACCAAGAAATGATTACAGGTGGCTAAAGACATCTGTGTGATTCTGATTACTGTGTGCTCTCATGTCCCTAAATTCATTTTTAGCTATGAGCTTTTCAAGCTGTTTTTAGTATGTCTTTAGACTTATACATTTAAATGACATTCTTAATTTTTAAAAGTTGTCACTACAGAGATTGATGGGATCTAAAATTTAAATTGTAAGTTAAAGTTGGGAGACATGCTTTTCCTTTAAGGGCTCAACTTCATTCAATGTCCATGTAATTAGAGTCCTCATGAACTGTCAGGCTCTCTCTTAATGTCTACACTACCATAATTACCTGCCCTTCAGAAATGAACTCAAATGCAATTAAAAATATCAGTTATTAAAAATTGTTCCAGGTTAATGGTTAATCCTCTCGAGATAGTTTGAGAGGGATGTAGGGAGAAGAATGACTATTGTTATCACAGATATGAATATATTTGTTATCGTCTTGTAGACTATGTGAGAAAATTAAATACAATGTCCATAATAAATACTTAGATTTCTTTCATATTTTTTAAAGATGTGGTCTTTGTTAAGACAGATGGGGGCTGTCCAAGATATATCATGTTAAGGTTTTAACATGAAGAGAAATTAATTGGGACTCTGTTTCATATATCCCGCTACATTGAATTGTCACTTAAATCTTATTTAAGCTCTTATACAACAGTTTCGGGAGAGTGTGATTAATCTGCTTGTTGACAC